CCCCACCTCTCGACGTGTTCTGTCCTCCCAGGACGTCACGTTCGACGAGTCGGTACCCTACTACCGCCTCTTCCCCTACCGCACTCCGTCCCTCCCCCCGCCCCCGCTCTTCTTGGTACCAGGTCCCCCCTCGGTATACCCCCTCCCCCCTCAGGGTCCTGCCCCTTCAGGTGTGTCCCAGGTAGACGCGGTCGAGCCTGTCGAGGTCACTGGTGACTCTGGTGCTGCTGAGGGTGCTGAGCCTAGGGATGCTGACTCTGGGGGTGCTGAGCCTGGGGGTGCTGAGCCTGGGGGTGCCGAGCCTGGGGGTGCTGGGCCTGGGGGTGCTGAGCCTGGGGGTGCTGAGCCTGGGGGTGCTGAGACCGGGGGTGCCGAGCCTGGGGGTGCTGGGCCTGGGGGTGCTGGGCCTGGGGGTGCTGAGCTTGGGGGTGCTAAGGCTGGGGGTGCTCCGCCTGGAGGTGCTTTGCCTGAGGGCGCTGTGCCTGGAGGTTCTCCGCCTGGAGGTGCTTCGTCTCGCCGAGAGCCACTCTCCCCACAGGAGCTACGTGAGTGGTTTGCCCGGCGCTGGAGGCGTGCTGCTGGTGCTGGAGGTTGTTCGGCTGCAGGGGGTGCTGCTGCCGCGCGTCCTGGAGGTGCTCGTGCTGTGGGTGCTGGAGCTGGTGCTGCTGTGGGTGTTGGCGCTGAGACTACTGCTGGCGGTCCGACTGCCAGTGCTCCTGGTGCTGCTGGGGGCTCTGGAGCTACTGGAGCTACTGGAGGTGCTGCTGGAGGTGCTGCTGGAGCGGGTACTCCTGCTGGGGGTACTGGTGCTGTCCCTGCTGTTTCTGGCGTCGCCACGCGGCCCCGACCGTACTTCGTTCCGCTCGTGCAGCAGGTTCTTGGTCCTCCTCCTCCTCCCTTAGAGGGTCCACAGCCTGTCCAGTCCCAGTCACAGCTACAGCCTGCCTCCCCTTTGCCTGCTCCTTCTCCTTACACTGGTCCGACTGGAGGTCTTACTGAGCGTCGTGAGCCTGCGTCTCGTCCTGCGTCGCCTGTTCGTCCTGCACGCACTAGTGGCCGCGGTTCGCGTCAGCGTCCTCCTCCTGTCCCTGGCACGCACCGGATGTCTCTGCGTCCGTCCACTGCTCCTCTGCGTGCCTCTTTGCCTTCTCCTCCTGCTTCCTCTCTTCCTGCTCTTGCCGACCCGGAGTCGGACTCTCTTCGTGCTGCCAGTCCTACTGTCACGCGTCTTCTTGCTACTGCTGTCACTGACCCTTCTTTTGAGTCTTCTGTTGCGTCTGCCCTTGTCACTGAGCTCGTCGACTTTGCTGCGCGCTGTCGTCTAGACTACGCTGCTAGTCTCGTCGCTGAGTCTGAGTCTGCCTGTTCTCCGTCCGTCGGGGGTGAGTGTGCCCTTGGCATGGACGTCCTTGAGGACAGGCACGAGGAGTTCCAGTGTCTGGCAGCTGCTTCACCTCATCTCGCGTCTGTACTGCTCGCCCCTGAGGGAGACCCGGATGCACTAGACATCCCGACTCCGCGCTCTTACGCGGAGGCGATAGAGGGTCCCTACTCCTCTCAGTGGCAGGCATCTATGGATGCAGAGATGGCTTCCTGGAAGTCCACAGGCACCTACGTTGACGCTGTTCCCCCTCCTGGGGCGAACATCGTCAGTGGCATGTGGATTTTCAGGGTGAAGCGGCCGCCGGTTTGTCCGCCTGTCTTCAAGGCGCGTTACGTGGCTCGTGGCTTCAGTCAGCGGCAGGGAGTTGACTACTTTCAGATCTTCTCCCCCACCCCGAAGATGACCACTCTTCGGGTACTGCTGCACGTTGCTGCTCACCGTGACTACGAGCTGCACTCTCTCGACTTCAGCACTGCTTTCTTGCAGGGTAGCCTGCACGAGGAGATCTGGCTGCGTCGCCCACCTGGATTCACTGGGTCTTTCCCTCCTGGTACCCAGTGGAGTCTCCGGCGTCGAGTCTACGGTCTCCGCCAGGCGCCACGTGAGTGGCACGACACACTGAGGACTACGCTAGCGGCACTTGGGTTTGCTCCTTCTACTGCCGACCCGTCGCTGTTTCTGCGCACCAACACCTCTCTGCCGCCGTTCTACATCCTCGTGTACGTCGACGACTTGGTCTTTGCCACAGCTGACACTGCTGGACTCGCCTACGTGAAGTCCGAGCTGCAGAAGAGACACACGTGCACTGACCTGGGTGAACTGCGCAGCTACCTTGGCTTGCAGATCACTCTTGACAGAGCACGCCGCACCATTACCCTGACTCAGTCACACATGGTGCAGCAGGTCCTTCAGCGCTTCGGCTTCACGTACTCCTCGCCTCAGGCCACTCCTCTGCCTACTCGCCACTCGCTCTCAGCTCTGCCTTCGGATGAGTCCGTAGAGTCGAATGGTCCGTATGCAGAGCTTGTTGGCTGCCTCATGTACCTGATGACCTGCACACGACCTGACCTTGCATACCCTCTTAGCATTCTCGCACGCTATGTTGCTCCTGGGAGACATCGACCAGAGCACATGGCTGCAGCGAAGAGGGTGTTGCGCTACTTGTGCAGTACGCCGGGCATGGGGCTAGTGCTTGGAGGGCGCAGTCCAGTGGTCCTCACTGGGCACGCGGACGCTTCTTGGGCTGACGACCAGGCTACGCAGCGGTCGTCACAGGGTTACATCTTCAGCCTTGGTTCCGGCTCTGTTTCGTGGCGGGCTTCCCGCTCGTCTTCTGTTCTTGGCTCCAGCTGTGAGCTTCGCTGGCTCACCTACCTGCTGACCGACCTTGGAGAGCCGCCTCGTTCTCCTCTAGTCCTGTACATAGACAACAAGGCCATGCTGGCCTTGTGTCGAGAGCAGCGACTGGAGCACAGGACAAAGCACATTGCTCTCCGCTACTTTCTTGCTCGTGAGCTACAGCAGCGTGGATAGTTGCGACTTGCGTACATGGCCTCTGAGGCCAACACTGCTGATGTCTTCACCAAGGCACTTGCGCCTTGTGATCATCAGCGTTGCTGCACGCAGCTGGGTCTTGTGCCTGTCTTGCCTCACTTGCTCACTTCTTGACCTTGCTTGTACCTTCACCTATATATACTCTTGCTCTTGCTTGCTTGACTCTTGTATATCTCTATATATGATCTTGCATGTAAACTGGCCTTGTGGCCCTTGAACTTGTGCGTGGTGACTTTGTGATCCACCCTAAGCTTCGCTTTGCTTTGCTTGACTGGTCTTGTGACCCCTTGTTCTCCCCCACTTTGCCTATGGGGGTGTGTCAGAATATTATAGCTTACTTATTTGTGTAGGCTATAGTGGGGTATCCCATAGGGGGTACAACCCAACTAGGGTTTCCTATTTGTACTCACTTCATTCATAGTTCATTCCATTCTCGTTCAAATCTTCTCAACTATTGCTTCTTGAACTTGTGCTCAGAATGTGTGGTGACATTGTGATCCACCCTGAGCTTGTACTGCTTTGCTTGCTCTGCTGATTACACCCCATTTTGGCTATGGGGGTGTGTCAGAATGTTCTTATCTAGCATGTAGTGGGGTGCTCTATAGCGAGTACAACCCTGTTAGGGTTTGCTATTTGTATCCCCATTCTTGCTAGTCGAACCCTCTTTCTTTCTTCTAATTTTGTCACACTGTGCACCGTACACCAAGCGGATTTCCGGCGAAACATGCTCTGACTAGGCGAATCTCTTGTGTGAGGGGCGAATCAGCAGCTGTGTCAAGGCAAATCTGCTGTGATTGGGCGAATTTTCTGTGCTGCGACAGCGCGTAACGACTGTGCGAGGTCGAATTTGCCGTCAGGGCGAATATGCTGTGACGAACCAAGTCCGAATCATCAGTCAAGTACACAACCAGAGATCAAAAACAATTCTTAACAATTTTCCTATTCGATTGGTCAGACAAGATTTATGACCAATCAGACACGCAAATAGCAGAATCCTGGCCGAATTTGGGAATTGTTAAGTGAGGGCAGTCTGATTGGCTGTGTTATGACAGCATACTGTCAAAACATTATAGCTTATGCTGTTGTGTAGGCTATAGTGGGGTATCCCATAGGGGGTACAACCCAATTAGGGTTTCCTATATGTACTCACTTCATTCATAGTTCATTCATTCTCGTTTGCATTTCCTCATGGTATCGAGCAGGTTCCCTCGTGGGAACTGTTCCTAGGGCCCACCAACAATTTTTTTTTTCCTGCCCAGGGCGCGTCCTCCCCCCTGCCCGAAGCGCGCCTGCCCTAGCGGCAGCCCCTAGTGGCCCGTCGCCCTTTCTGCAGCGACCCGCCGCCGCCCTTTGCGGCCCGCCGCCGCCCTTTCCTTAGCGGCCCGCCGCCGCCCTAAAGCGGCCTGCCGCCGCCTGCTCTGCAGCGGCCCGTCGCCGCCCTAAACCGGCCCGCCGCTGCCCTGTCCGCAGCGGCCCGCCACCGCCCTACGCGGCCCACCGCCGCCCGTTCTGCAGCGGCCCGCCACCATCCTAAAGCGGCCCATCGCCGCCCTAAACCGGCCCGTCGCCGCCCTAAACCGGCCCGCCACCGCCCTTTCCGAAGCGGCCCGCCGCCGCCCTAAGCGGCCCGTCGCCGCCCGTTCTGCAGCGGCCCGCCGCCGCCCTAAAGCGGCCCGCCGCCGCCCTGCTGGGGCCCGCCGCCGCCCGTTCTGCAGCGGCCCGTAGCCGCCCTAAACCGGCCCACCGCCGCCCTCAAGCGGCCTCGCCGCCGCCCTAAAGCGGCCTGCTGCCGCCCTACAGCGGCCCGTCGCCGCCCTACCCTACAGCGGCCTCGCTGCCTCTCACCTGCTGCAGCGCCGCACCGCCCTCCAGCAGCACAGCCGAGCCGCCCAGCAGCCGAGCCGCCTAGCAGCCAAGCCGCCCAGCAGCCGAGCCGCCGAGCCGCCGAGCCGCCGAGCCGCCCTAATTCCGACATGCATGAGCTGCCCAGTCTGGTGAGCACAGTCCCTCTTTCACTGCACTGCCCTCACCCTACTGCCTGCACTGCTAGTCTACTGTCATCATGGCTACCCCCAGTGTCCTAGCTTTTGACGCCGAGGGTAGGGCCATTGACTTCGAGGTCTGGGTAGATGATCTACAGCTGTTCTTACAGTGCGATAGGGCAGGCGGTCTCTCTCTCTTTGACCTCACCTCTGGCGCGTCCCCTGCCCCTGCTGCTGATGCTAACGCCACTGTTTGTTCCCAGTGGGCCACGCGCGACGCTGCTGCACGTCTTGCTGTGCGTCGCCACCTCCCTATCTCTGAGCTTGCACACTTTAGTCAGTACAAGAGTGCGCAGACCTTGTACGACGCTGTAGTTGCACGCTACTCCTCCCCTGCCACTGCTGCACTGAGCCGTCTCATGCTGCCGTACCTCTTCCCTGACCTCGCTGCCTTTCCCACAGTCGCTGATCTCATTACGCACCTCCGCACTAGTGACACTCGCTACCGCGCTGCGCTTCCTGCTGACTTCTGCGCCAAGAACCCCCCCCGCCCATGTACATCACCCTCTACTTCATAGTCACCCGACTCCCTGACTCCCTTAGAGTAGTCAGGGACCACTTCCTAGCTGTGTGCCCCACCACCCTCACCATTGACCTCCTCGAGAAGGCCCTCCTAGCGGCGGAAAAGAGCATAGTCGCTGTAGGAGCTTCTCGTTGTGACCCCCGCAACCTTGTTTTTGAGGGGTGTTCTCCCTCCCCCCTCTTGCCCTCTGTCGCTTCTGCTGCTGCTGTCGACCTCGTTGGTCTCGAGTCGGTAGGCGCTGCGTCTGCCCCTTCGGGGAAGCGCCGCAAAGGCAGGGGCAAGGGGGGCAAGGGCACTGGAGGAGCTGGTGGGGACGGTGGAGGTGGCGGTGGAGGCGGCGGAGGGAGTGGGGGTGGTGGAGGGAGCGGTGGAGGGGGTGGGGGTACCGGTGGCGGCAGTGGGGGCGGAGGCGGCGGCGGTGGCGGAGGGAGCGGAGGAGGCGGCGGTAGCGGAGGCGGCGGTGGTGGTGGAGGCGACGGTGGTGGCGGAGGCGGCGGAGGGGGCGAAGGTGGAGGTGGAGCTGATCGCGGGTCTACGCAGAGGAGTGGCTCCGGTGGTGGTCCGCGCCAGCAACAGCAGCAGCGTGGTTGTGAAACCCTGTCCCCTCAGCAGCTCCGTGAGTGGTACACTGCACGCCAGCGGGGTAGGGGTTTTGGTCCGTGCACCTACGTCCTGCGCACCGGCGACCGTGCGGGTGAGCAGTGTGGGGGTGCGCACCCCACCCAGCGCTGCTTTCGCCGCCTGACGGACGCGTGGCGTCACCAGTTCCCTGAGGCCACAGAGATCCCTCGCTAGGGCGAGCTGTCTAGGACGGGAGTAGCCATCTATGATCTTGACTTTGCTGCTCGCTGTCGCCTATACTACGCTGCTAGTCTTGTCGCTGAGTTTGAGTCTGTCTGTCCTCCGTCCGTCGGGGGTGAGTGTGCCCTTGGCACGGACGTCCTTGAGGACAGGCAGGAGGAGTTCCAGTGTCTTGCAGCTGCTTCACCTCATCTCGTGTCCGTACTGCTTACCCCTGAGGGAGACCCGGATGCAATTGACATCCCGACTCTGCGCTCTTGCGCAGAGGCGATAGAGGGTCCCTACTCTTCTCAGTGGCAGGCAGCTATGGATGCAGAGATGGCTTCCTGAAAATCCACATGCCACTGAAGATGTTTGCCCTAGGAGGGGGAACAGCGTCAACATAGGTGCCTTTGGACTTCCAGGAAGCCATCTCTGCATCCATAGCTGCCTGCCACTAAGAAGAGTAGGGACCCTCTATCGCCTCCGCGTAAGAGCGCGGAGTCGGGATGTCAAGTGCATCCGGGTCTCCCTGAGGTGTAAGCACTACGGACACGAGATGAGGTGAAGCAGCTGCCAGACACTGGAACTCCTCCTGCCTGTCCTCAGGACGTCCGTGCCAAGGGCACACTCACCCCCGACGGACGGAGGGCAGACAGACTCAGACTCAGCGACAAGACTAGCAGCGTAGTCTAGGCGACAGCGAGTAGCAAAGTCGACGAGCTCAGCAACTAGGGCAGACGCAGCAGTGGATGATGGAAAGCGAGCAGATGTGGAGAGCGTACAAGAGATTAAGTCCGCCGACTTCGACGGAACATTGCGTGCAGCTCACGTAACCTTAAACTATGAGCAGGTACGCGTTGGAAAGGTCTTGATTTCTACTTTCCAGAATGGTAACGCACGCTTTCAACAAGATCTAGGCCGATCGCTATCGCGATCTAAGTGCGATGGTGTATTCTGGCGAAATTAATAGGCAGCCATGGATTAGATCAAGAGACTAGCTTTAGCAAGAGTTCAGATCTGAAAAGTGACGAGTTGTTCAAACCCTACCAACCCAACCTTCGCCCTACAACAATCCCCAACAACCCAAAGTGCTAAACTAGCAACACCAAAGGTGTTGTAGTGAATAGTAAAGGTTTGTTGGTGCTTGTTGGGTGCGAGATCAATTCCAGCCCGCAACAAGTCTAACCACCATATTTTGCCCAAACCCTTAGCCCACAACCAGCTAGAGCAAAATACCACAACCACCTACACAATCAACACTCCCCCTTGCTCGTGCTGGAGGTGGCTGAACACCACTGGGCAAAATCCTTCAGTTCACTCCCCCTTGCTCGTGAGCTAGAGCAGCGTGGTCAGTTGCGGCTTGCGTACGTGGCCTCTGAGGCCAACACTGCTGATGTTTTCACCAAGGCACTTCCGCCTTGTGATCATCAGCGCTTCTGCACTCAGCTGGGTCTTGTCCCTGTCTTGCCTCACTTGCTCACCTCTTGTTTGTACTGTTACATATATATATATATACCTGCTCTTGCTTGTCTAGCCTTATTTATATATGTACTCCTGCATGTGACCTGGCCTTGTGGCCTTGAACTTGTGCTCGGAATGTGTGGTGACTTTGTGATCCACCCTAAGCTTGCTTTGCTTTGCTTTGCTTGACTGGTCTTGTGACCCCCTGTTCTCCCCCACTTTGCCTATGGGGGTGTGTCAGAACATTATAGCTTATGCTTTTGTGTAGGCTATAGTGGGGTATCCCATAGGGGGTACAACCCAATTAGGGTCAGTACTTGTACTCATTTCATTTCATAGTTCAGCCATTCTCGTTTCTTCTCACCTCCTCCTCCTCCTCCTCCTCCTCCTCCTCCTCCTCCTCCTCCTCCTCCTCCTCCTCCTCCTCCTCCTCCTCATCATCATCATCATCATCATCATCATCATCATCATCATCATCATCATCATCATCATCATCATCATCATCATCATCATCATCATCATCATCATCATCATCATCATCATCATCATCCCCATCCTCTCCGTCCTGCGAAGAGGGAGACGAAGGACGAAAGAGAGGGAAGAAGGAGAGGAAGACACGGAAGAAGGAGGGGACAGGGAAGGCTCAATTGCTCCCCAGAAGCCCAGCACCTCCTCCTCCTCCTCGTCATTATCCCTATCCTCTCCCTCCTAAAGGGACGTGGAAAGAGGGAAGCTGGTAAAGGGAAGGTTCGATCGTTCCCCACCCATAAGCCCAGCACCTGCTCCTCCTCCTCGTCATCATCATCACCATCCCCTCCGTCCTGCGATGAGGAAGAGGAAAGAGAATAAATAGAAGACGGAGGCGACCATACCGCATTCACATCGTGCACTGCTCTCACATCATCGTATAAGTGAGAGGAAGTAGAGGTAGCAGGCGTAGGCCACGAGCATGATGACGCTGCTGAAGCGAACCCAACTCACACCTACTGCACTGCACGTGTAGCGCACTGCACTCGTAACACACTGCACTTACACGTCATACAAATGCGAGTGCGTTTTCACCTGGAAGAAGAGGTAGTAGCAAGCATACGCCACGAGCATCATGATGCCACTGAAGTGTGACGCGAGAGAGCGAGCGTGTTGTCCTTTTCATGCAGCTCCCTGTGTGCTGACTGTGAAAGAACAAGGAATGAGAACGAGAATGAGAAGAGGGTTCACTAGCAAACATTGGGATACATATAGCAAACCCTAAAAGGGCTGTACTCACTATAGAGTACCCCACTGCAGAATAGAGAAACATAATATTCTGACACACCCCCATAGTCAAAGTGGGGTGTAATCGGCACAACAAGCAAAGCAGAACAAGCTCAGGGCGGATCACAATGTCACCACACATTTTGAGCACAAGTACAAGAAGCAACAGTTTAAAGTTTACAAATGTAAGCAAAGCTAGAGGCTATCACAGAGGGCAAGTGTGGAGGAGGAGGGACTATGAGAGGAGAGGAGGTAGTGGGCGGCAGCTGAAGCCGCTGGCACACGGCGCAACTGGAGCAACTGGCACACGGGCAACTGGAGCAACTGGCACACTGGCAACTGGAGCAACTGGCACACGGGCTACTGGAGTAACTGGCTCCGCGGCTAACTCTGAGCGGCAGGAGCAACGGACTCACGGGCGACTGGAGCAACGGGCTCACGGGCGACTGGCACAACGGGCTCACGGGCGACTGGCGCAACGGTCTCACGGGCGACTGGAGCTGCGGGCTTCACGGCGGCCACCCCCTTCAACCTCCCCAAACTATCCCACCCCCATTTCACACACCCCCTGCTGCACCCCTAGGTTCACTCAAACCTCACCCCCTAGCACCACTCCGTCAACTCCCACACACCCACCCCCCTTAGCGGCAGCTGCAGCAGTGGGAGACAGAGGAGGAGGAGGAGCAGGGGAGACCACACACCCGCCAACCCCTACTCGCCACCCCCAGACCCTAACACAGGGCAGGGCGGGACGGCGGGTAGGGAGGTTACGGGGGGAGGGGCGGGGCGGGGCCGACGCGCGGCCTCCCAGGGCGCCAAAACAGGCGGCAGAAGGGGCGACGCTCGCACCCCCCCCCCCCCCCCCCCCCCCCCCAAGGTCGCGCGGCCCCCTCAGGTCGCCTCGACAGGCGACGGGAAAAGAGGGGGGGGGGCGGTGCACGGGTCCCCGATGCGCCGCGACAGGCGACGGAGCATGGCCGGGGCGGGGACGGGGCCGCTGGAGGCGGCAACGGGGCTGATAGGGGCGGCGACGGGGCCGCTGCAGGTGGTGACGGGGCCGCTGGAGGCGGCGACGGGGCCGATAGGAGCGGCAACGGGGCCGCTAGGGGCGGCGACGGGGCCGCTGGAGGCGGCGACGGGGCCGATAGGGGCGGCGACGGGGCCGCTAGGGGCCGCAGGAGGCGGCGACGGGGCCGATAGGGGCGGTGACGGGGCCGCGAAGGGCGGCGACGGGGCCGCTGGGGGCGGCAACGGGGCCGCGAAGGGCGGCGACGAGGCCGCTAGGGACGGCGACGGGGCCGCTAGGGGTAGCGCGAGGGGCCGTGAGAGGGGCCGTGAAGGGGCCGTGAAGGAGCCGTGAAGGTGCCGCGAAGGGGCCGTGAAGGGGCCGCGAAGGGGCCACGAAGGGCCGCGACGGGCAGCAGGGCAGAGCGCGAAACGCGCCAAGGGCAGGGCAGGAAAAAAAAAAATAGCGAAGTGGTGGGCCCTAGGAAGGAACAGTCCCAGGAGGGAACCAGCTCTATACCATGTGAAAGAACAAGGAATGAGAACGAGAATGAGAAGAGGGTTCACTAGCAAACATTGGGATACATATAGCAAACCCTAAAAGGGTTGTACTCACTATAGCGTACCCCACTGCAGACTAGAGAAACATAATATTCTGACATTGACTGCAGCACGGCCGCGGTTGTCAGGCCCATCACTGCCATGAGGAGCAGCCCTGACGTGAACAAGTGCAGCGGTTTGTTCGGGGGAAAGGAGAGTGAAAGCAGTGCACAGTAGGACAGGGGATGGTGAGCAGAGAGCGAGCGTGCTGTCCCTTTCGTGGAAAAAAAGTGAGGGAGAGGAAGAAGCAAAAGCCATATCAATGCCTCTTCCCACACCTAGTCTCTCTCCTCGCTTACACCCCCCTTCCAGTTTCCCTCCTTCCATCCCTCATTCACACACATAAAACTCGCTCTCCCTCTTTCCTCCCTTTCTCCCCCTGCCCTTTCTTCCCCCTTGTCTTACCCACCTTGTTGAATGTCTGTTCACGGTACCGCAAGCAGCCCAGGTAGAAGGTGCAGCCGAGCACAAGCAGCATGTTGGAGAGGAGGAGAGGATAGTGTCAGAATATTATCATTCCTCATTTCTTCACAGATAGAGCACCCCCATACCGCCCGTCCACCTTGTTGAATGTCTGCTCCCTGTAGCACAGCCTGCCTAGGTAGAAGGCGCAGCCAAGCACGAGCAGCATGTTGGAGTTGGAGAGAATGGAGCCTAGCAAGCTCATCTGCACCACGCATATAGCGTACACCCTCATTCATCACCTCATCGCATCGCATCTTTCGAAAATAAGGGCGCGCACCATTTTGCCACCCCATGATTCGAACCATCGACCGTTCGAACCGTGGGGTGGTAAATTTATTCGTCAGAGTATGTAGGGCATTTTGTGAGCAGTGTCCGACGTCCCATGCATACCGCAACGGTATAACACTTTTCTCACATTTGTCAGTTTGAAAGTTGAGTTTGGGAGCCTGTAAGGAGTTTTCACGACATTCCTTAGCGCATTCCACAACATCGTGTACAGTAGCAGCCGTTGTTCGCCCGTTACAGCTAACAGGGCTTCGCCGACTTCGCGCACACTGTTTCACCAAACCTCGCACTGCTGGCCCGACCGTGTCGGCCTATGCTTCGGGACTAGCCCGAACCTCACTGCCAACGTAGCACTAGCTAGCTCGCACACACCACGTTACGGTTTGCATGTTTCGCGTATAAATGTTCGCTCATGCCTTCGCTAATATTTTGTACTCGTTTGGCACTTAGTGCAATCCTCGCTACCTTGATTCATTGCACCTGTAACACTTGGTATTTAGAGCCTCTTTCTTTTCGGACCGCGCATCTCCGCACCCCAAAAAAACTACTTTTGATTTTTCACTTGAAGGGACTCACGCACCTTAGCCCCTAGGAGCCGCTGTCCTCGCGTTCTCTCGTAAACGTGTGCAGCCACGACTGCGCCTAGACTAAGCTGAGCCGACGCCCTTCGCAATGGCCGAGCACATCAACGTCACCACCCTCATGCAGGAGCATCTGAACGAACTGCTGCAGCAACTTCGCGAAAGCTCTGAAGAAATCGCGGCGCTGACGGCAGAACGTACGTCCCTGCAAAATGACGTTGAACGAGCACAGCAAGCACAATCTCAAGCACCAAGCACTCCGGTATAGCCCGCACCACAAACATCGCAACATTGAAGCATGGGGCAACCCGCGAGCGCGGCCAGTGATGGCGCCGTCCACCACGACGGAGACGACGACCACGGCACGACACACCCCGAAGCGACGAATGTGGCCAGGAGTCAGCCTCGAGTCATGATTTCTGTGCCGGCTGGCGAATCAACACTGCCATCGCCGATGCCGCTGAAGCCGCAGCGTCCGCCATGCTTTGAACCGAGTCAACAGGGTGGTCCTATAGTTCAGGCGTGGTTGTTCACGTTGAACGTTTTCTTCGACGCCAACTACGTCGCGGAGGATACGGCGAAAATCCGCTACGCCGTGTCACTGCTGCGAGGACCTGCCATAGACTGGTGGCGTGTCATCGTCACGAAGCCGGCTGACTACTCGACTCTACCGACACCAGTGACAAACTGGACCCTGGGCACCGTCGTATTTCATGGAGGTGCCCCAATATCGCATGTGGGACGCGTGGTGCGCAGGTCTGCGCGCTCGGTTTGAGCCAATTGCGGCTTCGATCGCGGCGCAACAGAAGCTCCGCACTTGGCGCCAACTCGGATCCGTCCAGGACTACACCAGTGGGTTTCTGGCGCTATGCAAGCAAGTGGGTTATATGCACGAGAGCGAATGCATCGACCGCTACATCGGCGGCCTGAAGCACGACATCACTCGGGAAATCCAGCTTCGCGGCGTCACCGATTTTCAAGAAATTCTCGCTATGGCAGAGAAGCTTGAATTCTTCCGCTGACCGAGACCGGGGTCCTACGGAAGCAGTAACTGGGGACATCGGTCTTGTGGGACGAATGAGGGCGCTACGATACGGGCCGTCGCTACAAATGCCGCTGCGACACCGTTCAAAGGGCGCTTCTTCGTGTCAGAGGTCCACTGGTGATTCCCGATTGATCCTAGGGAAGGGTTATAGGCACGTTGGCCTGGGGGGTTATGGGCGCACTTACCCGCTACACAAACAAGCCCTTTTATCCCAATGGTCTAGTGGTTGGGATTCTAACATGGTATCATAGCGAAGGTCTCGGGTTCGAATCCCGGTGTGTGCTCTTCGGGCATCCCAGTGCGGGGGGGTGTCAGAGGTCCACTGGTGATCCCCGATCGATCCTAGGGAAGGGTTACAGGCACGTTGGCCTGGGGGGTTATGGGCGCACTTACCCGCTACACAAACAAGCCCTTTTATCCCAATGGTCTAGTGGTTGGGATTCTGACACTTCGCGTGCAATCGGCCGGGACACCGCAAGAGTGAATGCCCGGAAAACGCGAAGGGGGGAAGCTGAGCAGCAGAAACAGACCAAGCAGCAGAGAATCGCTGGGAGTCAGTAGCAGACATGCCCTCTACTGACAGGTCACGCCGCTCGCCCGACCCAACCAATCCTCACCGAGTGATTGTGCCGGTTCACGCAATCGACCACACCCGGTCGAATAAGGAGGGTACTGCGGTAGACAGCCCCATACTGCTTAGTGGGAAAATCGGGACGGACTTTGTTAAAACCTTCATAGACGGGGGAGCCAGCCACAGCCTCATCAACACTGCCACAACAAGGAAAATGAAACTGCCACTCGATAGATGCTTACCTGAGATCGATGCAAGACTAGTTGACGGCACGCCAATGGCGATATGGGAACACATA